TGGCGCGATATGGTTCATGGGGTCACGAAGAGTCGGACACGACTTAATGACCGAACAACAAATTATTACATGGAATACAGCTGTACTGGATTATTGCTGCTGCTGCCGCCGCCGTTAGGTCCTGAACAGACTAAAACTAGCTGAGATGGGATAGGCGGAAAGTATTTTTACCTTTGGTTACCTTGAGAAACCACTTCCATCAGGCCTCTCCTCTCCCATAATAGTAATCCAAGCAGCATCTAGTCAACCTTGTTTGACCTCAAAAGAGCTAAGCAATGGTAGGCCTGGTTAATATTTGAATAGGAATCCAACAGGAATTCCCATTCTTATTGGTCAGACTGGAAGAAATGTCCTGGAAGAAGGTAATGACCATATAGACTATTGCAATGCGCTCTACTTGGGGCTATCCTTGAAAAGTATCTGGAAGTTACAGCTGGTTCAAAATGCAGCTGCAAGGGCAATTTTAGGTGCCCCAAAGATGGCATGTCACACCTTTGCTGCTCGAGCTGCTTTGGGTCCCAGTTTGCTTCCGGGTCCAATTCAAGGTGTTAGTTATCACCTTTAAAGTCCGACATGGCATGGGACCGGGTTACCCGAGGGACCATCTCACCCATATTATATCAACCCATCCCACCTGGTCAGAGGGTGTGCTACGGACCCCGTTGATGAATGAATGTCAACTGGTGAGGCCTTCTCTGCCATGGCCCCTGCCCTATGGAATACCCTTCCTGCAGAGGTGAGGCTGGCTCCCACTCTCTTGACCTTTCAGGAAGCAGTCAAGACCTGGCTCTGCCAACTTGCATGGGGTGAGAAAAGGGGTAACCAACCCTGGGGATGGCTAGCACCTTGAAGATGCTGCCATATGTTAATATCTTTTTGATCACCAGCATCTTGGAAGATATTATTTGGTTTTATTGTATTTTTATGCTTTTATTGTGTTTTAACTAATATTTGTTGTTTTTGTGAACTACCCAGTCACTTCCTCGTGAGATGGGCGGTGTCTAAATTCGAAACAAATATAAATAAAGGCAAACCTCTTCCTGTATTGCTGCCAAGAAAACTATATTGACAAGTCCATGTACTCACTGGAAATCAAACTTGACTGAAAGGAGTCATTTATCAAGCCATTCCAGGAAGGGTGGCACAGGGAGAGACTAAGCTCTTTATAACATTATGAGCTGGTACATGAGTATTATTTCATTTTTTACACCATTTTTTTTGTGGCTTGAATTTTTAAGATAAGCTTAAATGCACAGATGTTTCTATTGATTTGTACACTGCACTGGATACCTTTCTGTTTGAAATGTGGAGCATGGATGCTTTAATTAAATAACTAGTTAAACACAGGCCCTGCCTGGGGACATCTACTTTAAATTAAGGAAGACACTTTAATAAATAAATCCAAGTGAATCAGGAATTTTACAGTGAATAAGATATATATATTGAGAGCCTTCAATGAAATTAACAGGGGAAGAAAATCCAGTGGCAGTTAGAACATGTAGTCAGGAGGACCATTTAAGATGGTAAGGAGAGCAGATGAGGGCCACACCCCACTGACAAGGGTACCTATTACCTTCTCAACTAGTGTCCTCAATGAATAAGGTATTACAAGCAGCTCATTGCTCTCAAGGTAGCCACCCCAGCACCCTGGCCTGCTCCTAAGCTAGGCTCTAGGACCAGAAAGAGCCATAGATAATTACAATAACTGCTTTTCTGCAGAAAAACAGCCAGAGCAGCTCTCAGGTATGCATACCAAGCCCAAATGCCTTACTCTGAGGAAAATATTACCGAGCAGGTACACTATGATAGTAGGGAAACTAAGGGGTGCAATGCTAGCAGTGGCCCTCACATTTCAAGCAGAAGTTCTACTCAGGTGAATCTCAGGGCATTAGTTTGAGGATCTTGGGAGAAAATAAGTCTGATTCAGGCTTAACCTGAATGAGAAGTATGAGTGAAAGAGCTGAAAACTGCCCATTTATTATTTTACCATTTCAACTTGCCATCTTTAACCATTTTTTCCCAACTTGGTCTTCAAATGCACACTTATTGTTCCAAATATGAACATTCTATACAGGAAGCAGCAGCTGGGGGGGGGGTGGCATTTCAGGGCTCTTCAACATGAGGAGCCTGTGGCAATCTGATAAAAGGGCCACCCCATGATGTCAGGTAGCTTTTGTGGGGCTTAGGAAGCTGAGCCTATAACATTTGACAAAATACTTCTGCAGTATTTTCTCTGCAGGTGGGCAGCATTTGGCATCTGACAGGAGCTCTCCCCTTTCCCCAACTCCCGAGATTTCCCCTTCCTCCTACAGCCAAGGTAGTCTGTTGTAACCTCCCCTCCATCTTTGATACTCAGACCAAGGGACTGTTCTTGTATATTGGCCAGTTGGGTGTAGTGTGTGTCCAACTGTAAAGAGAAACAGTTGCAAGGGAAGATTGAGGGTAGCAAATGGGGCTGGTTATCTGCCATGCTTTTGTGCCTTCCCACTGGCCGGCTGGCGGGAGCACTGGTTGACAAGAGAGGATAGGACCCAACAGTACCCACTATAGTAAGGCTGCTGCAGATAATAAGAGGACTGAGGTCAGTGTTGTGCCAAAGTGTCTTTGAAGGGAACCATTTGCAGGAAAGGAAATTTCCTTTCCTGTTCTCTTTCCATTTATCCATTCTAAATTCCCTAAGCTATGGTTTTTGAGGTTTTGGTACATATATGCGCATATGGTTTTGCTTTAAAAAAATATTTAAAAAAAGAAACACAATTTTCTTAAAGATTTTAAAAAGAAAGATAAAAACTAATAGAAACTATTATAAAGAAAAAGAAGGAAAAAAAGAGGAAGCTAAAAGTGCAAGAAAGAAAAAGAAAAATAGAAAAAAGATAAAGTAGCTTCCAATCTTCTTTACAGCAGTTGTAAGTACAATTATAAGTTTACCTCTTACTCTATAGTTACAACATAACTCTCTAATAATCTATCCCGTCTATTCATCAAAACCATAAATCATAAGCTTATTTTTTTCTGTTTCATGCAAAAAGTCTATAAGGGGTTTCTAGTCAGCAATAAATGTAGATATTGCCTTTTCTCTGATCAAAGAAGTCAATTTCACCATCTCAGGAAGTTCCATCATCTTCACCAACCATTCCTCCATTGTGGGTAATGCCAAACCTTTTCATCTTTGTGCATACAATAATCTCGCTGCAGTTATCATGTACAAAAACAAAGTTCCATAACTTTTCCAACTGTTTGGCCATCAATCCCAAAAGAAAAAACTCCGGTCTCAACTATCTTTAAAATACTCTGAATCAGTACAGTGGAACCTCGGGTTAAGAACGCCTCTGTTAACGAACTTTTCGGTTACGACCAGCTCCGGCCGCAAAAATTTACCTCGGTTTGCTAACTCCGCCTCGGGGTACGAACAGGATATGTGGTCATTTTCCCTCCCGTGACACGGTCCGCGGCCATTTTTCCACCCGACACGTGGTCGTAGGGAGGGGGACTCTCCCTCCAAGCAATAGCTGCCTCCCTGTCCTCCACGCCGGAACGGATTAATGGTAATTACATTGAACCTTATGGGGAAATTTCCTTTGGGTTGTGACCAATTCAGGGTGCGACCAGAGTCACGGAATGGATTAAGTTCGTAACCCGAGGTTCCACTGTATATGTATTTGAATCCAGAATTTTCTAGCTTTTTTACAGATCCACCAAACATGATAAAATGTCTCTTCCTGTTGTTCACATTTCCAACATAAATTTGAACTGCCTTTATATATTCTAGACAATTTTTCTGGTGACATATACCAATAATACATTTTATAAAAATTCTCTTTAAGATTATAACATAGCGTAAATTTCAATCCTTTCAGCCACGTATTTTCCCACTGTTCCATCTATACATTATAACCAAAAAGTTTAGCCCACTGTATCATACATTCTTTTACTTGTTCGTCTTCTGTTTCAAATTTAAATAAAAGTTTATACATTTTAGCAATTACATGTTCATTAGTACACAATTCTATTTCACTCAGTCTTATGTTAAAACCATAATTTTTTTTGTCTACTTTAAATCTTTTTAGTTGTAAATAAGAGAACCGTTGACAACTATATCCCTCTGCCACCAGTTCTTCTCTTGATTTTTTAACATTCCCCTTGACAAAATTCTAGTATCTCGCAGTAAGTTAGCCATTTGTGTTTGCCTATTATTTCTCATCAGAAAATCTTGTTTCTAACTGGGAGACTCTCGTGTATTGCAAATGTTCTTCCCTCAAATCCTGTCTGATGAGAGATAAAATATGGGATGAAAAAACTATTAAAACTTGAGTTACTTATCTGCCACTTTAGCACATAATCTAAATCTGCATTTCCAAATGATTAACTTTGTGAATCTTTATTATAGCAAATTTAGGAACTATACAATCCTGAAAGATTGCTCCCAACATGGTCCTGTCTCTCTGCTCCATTTGTTCAGAATCTCTTAGTGCCTTATTTTTCTCACAGCTTTGGTGCTATGTTGGACTGGAACCACATGAAGCTGAAGATAACACCCATAGTTTTAGGGAAAGTCTCATCAAATGCAAATTTCATGGAATCCTGAAGAGGTATTTCCACAACTTCAATCAGCTCGCCTTCCTCTGGCTGGCCACCTCCTTCACTCGATTTCATCTCATCAGTTACCTGCGCATAAAATAATGTCTGCTTTGATCCTGTCACACCAACTCCAGATCTTGAGGGATGAAAAAAAAAAGAATTTAAGTTTAAGTAAACCTTAGATTAACATACATATATACATACATACATACATACATATATATATACATACATACATACATACTCATCACACTATTTGCTTTCTATAAACCACAGAAGAATAACCTGGAACAAGAAATTAAAGGCAAAGGGAAAAAAAATTAACTGTAGCCACTTCATTATCAACACAATTCAGTATTTCATATTTTTCTATCCTTGCAAACCTTCCTTGCTTCCATCACTAATACACACACACGTGTGTATGTGTACACACATAAACATTTTATATCATGGATGTTTTAATACTTTTATTGTGAATATTTTGTCCTGAATTGTGTTATGTACTGCCAAGAATCTTTTGACTGTGGAAGAATAGAAGTCCATACTCCGCTTTACATGTTGTCCTTTGTTCTTTAAACTTCTCAACTCTCATTTTTTGGAGATCTCTTTAATACCATGCAAGTTCCCTTCCTCTTGATGCAGTAACTCTTTCATATATTTGTTTTGCAATTTGATCCTTGTTCATTCTGTCTATATGACCAAACCACTTTAACACATTGCTTTTGTAAGATACTGCCACTCACTTTTGTATTCAATCTACATTCATTCATCAAGTATTCATTCTTGTTTTACTACTAATACTCCTTAAGTACCCCATTCCTGCTGCATTCAAATTATTTTTATGTTTCCCTTGACATTGCAAGTTTCACTTCTGCTTAACAAAGTGGGTAGAAATATACTCTTATACATATAGCCATTTTCACTTCTTTTGGCAAGCGTTCATCCTTGCAATAGACCACATACTACCTACTATTTTTCTACCAGTATGTGCACATTTTTTTCCCATTCATTTTCCATCTTTAGTAAACATTTTTCCAAGGTACACAAATTCATCTTCTTGCTCTAGTTTTCACTATGGAGTTATAATTTGCAATCTTTCATTTCATTTTCCCACATACAACTATCCTGGTATTTGATATACAGTGGTACCTCTACTTACGAACGCCCCTACT